ATGCAATAAACTCCATAGTGTTCCAACCTTTTGGCAATGATTACTGATTTATGGTTGCTGAATCTTGTGTGCATAATAGTAATTGTGGTTTTTCCCCACATAATGCATGTTGCATCCAAGGTGCTAGCATCCAATCACCTATATGACATTGATAGAACTGCAAGTTGTATTTTGTTTCATGTGATCAGTTTTTCCTGTACTTCTGATCTGAAAGTTGTTTCATGCAAATATTCACAAATGGTGCCTGTCTATGTTCATATACATGCACAGTTCTCTCTTTCACACACGCATACTTTATAGCACTTGGGTGATTTTGTAATTCAACTCAGGTAGAGCACTGAACAAGCCCAAAGAGCACAACCATCTGGTTAAATGGCTAATTTCAGTGCTGGAACTGAGGAGAAGTCATTTCAGGGAGGCAACAAGTTCAAGAGATGATTAATGAATGGGTTTCTAATGCTAATTACTTAAAGGCATTGCTAAGGGAAACAGGAACCTCTTTAGTTAAAATCAAGTGCCTGCAACATAGGTTGAAGTAACTTACAAACTTATAGCCAGAACCTACAATATTTACTTGGAAGTAATCACTGCTGGTTCAGTGTTTGATCTCTCCCAGCTTTTAGCACTCATTCCCTTTATTTGTAATGAGCTTCTTCTCTTCCTGAGGCATTGCACTTAAACATTTCCCAAATTTAGTGTAAATGGAAACCCTGGTGCTGAGAGACACATGGGGATGCACATGCCCAAAGACAATCCCATTAGCAGATCTGGGCTAATTCTGATCTGCAAATGTCTGCAGTAAATTCCCCACCATGGGGAGATAAAGCTGAACAGCATCTGTTTTCCTTTTCACTGTCAGAGAGATATACAGTGTGTTGATATCCTAAAGGCACCAGATCCTGCCTATCTTGACATCTAACCAGGGTCTTGGATGGAAGACCACCAATAAACACCAGGTTCTGTAGGCTATATTTCAAAGAAAGGAACTGGCTAAACCACTTCAGAGTATTCCTTGCCTTAAGACCCCCTATGAAATTAATGGGGTCACCATAAGTCAAGGGGTGACTTGAAGGTGTGTGCACACATTCACTTACACACTCACACACATGACTGTACTGTTTGCTAATGCTCATAGCAGTATCTTGCCTTTTCCAGGGATGTTAGACTGAATGGAAATTCAATAATTGGACCTCCCCTGGCAGGTTCTAATGCAAGTGGTGTCACTAGCATTGGTTTCATCCTGGTGTGGTAACTCATGATATCACAAACACACATACACACACCAGCTGCCTGACTGGCACACCCCCAGCCATCCCCCTCCTTTGGCATCACTTCCTTCCTTGCTCACTTTTCCAACCATACCAGACTTTTCCAGGGTCTCACAACTTTCTCAGCAGCTGGGACCATACCACTCCCACTCAACAGAGCTCAGTCTGCACAGATTTGTAGCATCACTGTTCTATTCCACTGGCCATGGTGGTTGGAGAATCCCCTGAGTCATACTGCCGGTGTGTGGGGGGCATTATTTCTGGGTCCCATGCAGCTGTTTGTGTAGCAGCCATGCCAGACCTGGAAAGCATGGCGGGGCAGAGCTGCTGCCTTCTCAGCAGCTCATTCCATCCAGAAGCAACTGCCCCATCAGATGTTCACACACACACCCCTCATAGGTGTCACCCAGTGTGATCCGCATCTCCCACACTCTCATGCTGATACCCCTGAGCCCATGCAGCTGTTTTGAAGATTCTGAAGCAGCACTATAGTAGCTTCAGAATGGAAGCTGTGGATGCATCTACACTGTAGAAATAATGCAGTATGACACCACTTTAAGTGACGTAGTTTCATCCTGTGGAATCTTGGGATTTTCAATTTTACAAGGTCTTTAGCCTTCTCTGCCAAAGAGTTCTGGTGCCTCACAAAACTATGAATCCCAGAATTCTGTAGGATTGAGCCATGGCAGTTAAAGGGGTGGCAAACTGCACTATTTCTACAGTGTAGGTGCACCCTAAATAATAAATAGGGAGCAACTGTTGGGAACACAAAATATCTAGAACAGGAAGTGCAGGAATAGCAAGAAATAAAAGAGGGGCATTCCTAAATAGTGATATACAAATCAAATATAATCTGCACTGCAGATGGTTCACCAGATTAGGAGCTCTTTCTTTTTTTCCTCCTCTCATACTAGCAGACTTTAAGCTGAAAAATATAGAACTAATACACTCGTCCCTCCCAATTTGCAGGGGATCCATTCCAGACCCACCCCTGAGAACTGGAAATACCACAAATATTGAAGTCCCATA